AGTAATATCAATCACCATGGCTACCAAAGTATTTTGCAAATTTTCAATCGAAAATCCAAAGGAATATATTGAATATATTTCGGGTTCATGCAAATATTCTGATATTTTTCAATACTTTGTGAAACTGACACTTACTGTAACTGTTACATTCGAATATATTGATATAGAACATTTCCACTTCATTGTGAAGTGGAAATATAATCCTTGATAATTTCCTTGATAATTTCTGGAAATATATTTCAAGAAATATAATCCTTGAAGCAAACTGGGAACTGATATTTCTCCGTTTTCAATATTTTGACTTCCACTTTACAATCCATTTCCAGGATAGAAGGGGTAAGAGTAATATACGTTTTTCAAGTTCAAAAGTGAGGTCACAGAGTTTCTTCAGCTCTGAAGACTTCATTGAAATGACTATAAAACTATTTTCCAATAAAATCAACCAGGTTACTTGATATAGAAATTGGTCGAATACCGAACTTGAGATAACAGCTGAAATTTACTGTGTGGGGAGCAACTATCATTATAGCTTTCCAATGTCACTGTGTCTTGCAGATTGCAGTGTATACAATTTTGTAATGCGTAAGGAACATCAACTCAAGGTCTCAATGAAATGAGCGTATCGAAATTTGTATAGAGTCATGCTGTATTTAAGACACTGATAAACGCAAAAGTGAACTGAGGAAACTGGCGGACAGGAATAGATTGGCAACGATAAAGCTGATAAGTGCCGTACTAAAACTTCTGGCAGAAGATTTTCATGTGTATCACTTACAACTGACGTCACAACGCCAAAACCCATTTTCTACTTCAAGACTCTAAAGTTCATAATATTTTTGGAGAAATCATAAGACCTCCCAAACAAAAATTTTGCAAGGGTTTGCATGCACTATTTCCTTTTGCTTTCTCTTTTCAAATTCCAGTGAGTTTTTAACAAATATCCCTATTTCTATTTTGGTTTTTCAATTGTGTTTTCAACAAACACATATTACTATAGAATTTAACTTAACAGCTATCATTGTGGGACTCCCGAGCTAGCCTTGAGAAAGTCGAAATATTGATGAAGCTAGAGACACAACACATTCCGAAGGTAATTAACCTTTATTCACAAACTGAAAATGAGTTCACACACTATTCTGTCAAGAAAGTTTACTTTGCCAAAATGATGAGTCAAAACTTGAATTATCAAAAATGAATTTCACATTTTGATACAGCTGTAATTTTCGTCATAAACTCAGAATACTAATATTTCACAGAAATCAATTGGAAGCATATATAAATAAGCTAAAGTTGTTGATATTGATGGGAGATTTTGGAAACTGTTTACGTCATTTCATTCCAGAAAACTTGAACAACTTGACAGGTAGAAAAGTATGGGCACTCAACCCACACTATTATTTATTCAACCCATCTGTCATGCTGATTGACCAAATATATAATAAAACATACTCATATCTACATACATATGAATGGCACCCATCTTTTTATTGCACATATGCCCGTTTTAATTTCAAAAAATCTGATACAATCGACGATATTAAATTCTTTTTGATCAAATCTCACTAATAAGGTGTTTTGAAATGATTCTTGAGTTATTAGATGCTGCAACTACTGTTTCGATGATGTTAACTAATTTGCCAAATACGAGTATTAATTATACCTGCTTTCTCCTCGTAAAAATTTTTCATACCGAAAGCAGCAACCTATAATTTCAGTGACTTATTAACAAATTATGTGTCCGAACCATGTGATTAACATTACCATGTACTAATAACCAGAATTGTTTATGTTGAACAACTTTTAAAAAACGATATTGATGAGAGCCAGCAAACAAAATCAAATACACTGTCCATGGGTAGCTCCTTCCCCCTTCGAGGGCCGTAGAGAGGGGATGGAGATAATGATTTTTGTACCACAGAAAATAATAAGGCACATGGTTTTGGAAAACTTGAAAGACACTGCCAAAGGTCAAAAAGGTTGTTGTACATTACGAATGCGAGATTATGCTTATTTTGTGGAAAAATTCGCTATTGAATTGTGTGCGGGGAGATTGCAAGAATCCAACCTCATACATAACTCAATAAAAATAGTCTCGGATAGTCAAGCGGCGTTGGAAGCTCTTGGTTCCTACCGAGCAACGTCTAAATTGCTAGCAAATTGCCAAAAACGACTCTTCTCTATTGAAAGACTCAACAGATTGTCTCTGGTCATAATTCCTGGCGATACTGGCCTGGAAGGCAATGAGGCTGCTGACTCCTTTGCAAAAGAGGGTGCTGCAAGCAGCTTCATCGTACCAGAACCTGTCATTAGCATCACTATAGGCTTTGCCAAACAAAATTTGAACACCTGGATGGCAAGAAGTGTTATGGACTTCTTTCTGGCAGAATCTTCCAGGATTGTCTCACTCCAAGGCGTTTATTTACCTTACGAAGCTTGATACCAGACAGTTGTTGGACTACAATAGGGATGAACTTCGATGTCTAACAGGCCTTCTTACAGGTCACTGTCATTTGAATCATCATATATAGAGACTCGGACTGTCAGAAGACAGCCTGTGTCGCCTCTGTTTGAAAAATGATGAAACAGCAGAGCACATACTTTGTGCCTGCCCCGCTGTGGCAGGCACAGATATCAGGTTTTTAGAGTTCGGCAGAGCCGTACTCTCACCATCTGACCTGAAAGACCACTCACCATACAAACTAATCGGTTTCGTTAAGAAGCTGGGTTTAATTGGCTGAGTGTGAATAGGTGTGTGCCACAATAAACCCTTGCGGGTTGCGGTGGACGGTCGAATAGACCCGCTCACTTTGGACGTCACCCAACCTACATTGCTACTTTCTGAGATGAAGTAGTTATATACAGAATATTCTTATTGCAGAAAAGGATCAGGAAGCATGAAATTCTCAACACGAAACAACCCACTGATAATTTCTTGTGTATTGCTCTCAAACGCTTCTCTAATTTTAGGTCTTCATCTTAGTTTATGCTTGAAAATTTTCTACAGGTTTTAATATGAATAACGTCGTTTTTCAGCCTCAATTTTGGCATCGCGTATTTGAAAATCAAAATGTTTTCATTTAGATTAGATTTGATGTGGGAAACTTTCTCGTTCATCTGTCTGCAAATAGCGTCTTCATCTTGCTGGTAACCTTTGCGCGTCGTCACTTTTATTCATACTACTGGGTCATTTTTCAATTTCGATAGCCTCTCTGATTGTTAGAAAATAGAAGTTCTCATTGCTATTGCTTTTGTGTTCTCGAAATTGATGTTGTGACCTGTTACCAATACGTGTTGGAAGAGAGGAATGTAATGACTTCTTCCTTTACTGCTAATTTATGTTCATCCTTGCGTATGTTGATTCGCCTCTTGGTCTATCCGATGTAAGTCTTGTCACAGTCTAGACATGGTACTTCGGAAACTCCTTGGGCCTCCAGTGGTATCTTATCCTTCGAATTACAGACCATGGACCTTATTGTACGTTCTTATACTGATTATGTTGCTATGCTGTGTTGGTGGAGGATTCTGCCGATTTTTTCTCTGGTTCCTTTGATGTATGATAGTATGGTGGTTATGACTGGTGTTTCTCGAGTTTTCTGCTATTGCTGTGGGATTTCGGAAGCCATTTTTATAGTTTTCTCTGAGTACTCATTCATTCGTACCGTTGCCGTTGTATCGATAGTGTTCAACTCCTGTTGCCTCCTTGAACGTTCAATCAGTGTTTTTGCCACCAGTTGAATTTGTTTTTGGTGGTGATGTGAATTTGCGTTCAGGTATCTATTGGAGTGTATTGTTTTTTGATGTACCGTGTGGTCCAGTGTACCGTCAGGCTTTTTCATGATCAACACATTGAGACATGCGAGCTGGCTACTTTTTGTAACTTCTTTCGTGAATTTGATCGAAAAACCCTGAAAGTTTTTAGGGTTTGTCACCAAATCACGAAAATGTCATCGACATATCTCAGCCAGAGTTTCAGTTTCAAGTCTGATGTTTTCACTACTTCGGTTTCGATTTCTTCCATAAAGAGATTGGCAATAATGGGAGATAGTGGTGAGCGCATTGGTGACCCCTCAATTTGTTTATGTCGTTGCTCGTTATAAATGAAATACCTGTTTTTGATGCAATGTTCAGCCAAGGTGATGATATGTTCTTCTGATTTATATTTTTTCTGATAATTTCTAGTGCCTCTACATGGGTGAATGAATAAGTCACATCAAAGCTCACAAGGATATCGTTTGGACTGACCGTTTGTATTTTCAGTATAAATATCAACGCATTGCGTTCGTATGAATCGACCTTTTCCGCAAGTTGTTGAAGTGCATGAGCAATGTGTTTCGCCAGTTGATGCTCACGATTAGTGTAAGTGGTGCTCCTCTTTATGGGCTTTGTGAAGATCATTAGATGCCTTTTGATTTTCTCGTTGATCATTGAATTATTTATAATTATGGAAGGTACCTGCCACACCTATGAATTGAGAAATAGCGTTTCGAAGAATTAGTCTAGTTCCACACTCCAGTGATCACCAGAAGACGGCAAATGAGACTTTGCCGAAACGTCGTAAAAATGATCCTTGTGAAGGTCAATAACACAGAACACGAAATGATATCCGGAAAATAAAACGTTGAGGTAACCCCTTCATATCATTTTGTCAAATCAGTGGCAGTTAACAATACGAAATCAACAAGGGCCATATAAAGAAAACGTTCGTGAATGGTTTTCTTCTATTTTTTCTTCTATTTTGTAAAGTAGAAAAAAGTGTATCTATGTTTTTCGTCACCTGGGAATTGTTTCAACATCACTTGAGTTGTTTTGATAGTTGAACTATGTGTTTTCATTCAAGCCTTCACAAATTCTGGAATTTTGTTTTGTGTGCGGAAATGATGTTTGTGTATGTTTGAATTGTCAACTTATAACTTTCTGTTTTGAAGCTAACATGTTGTATACGAATTCAAAATATATATTAGTTAATTTGTTTAGTAAAAAAACTGTTTTTGTAAGAGTAACAGTCAAAATAATCAATCATTTGTTTGCATTTTCTATAATTGTTTATATTTTGTTTCAGTTTTTGATATATTCATTTTGTGTTGATATTTATCGAAAACCTTCAACTAAAAAACATTCTTACCATCGCCTTCAGATATTGATTCAACTCACAACGCAAATAATAATCAGTTTAAAGTATGATCTGTTGACTAGTACAGAAATAAATGTATGAAAAGATATGGATTATTGGAAAATTTATTATAAAAGCTATGAGAATTTCATTTGAGTTCATGCCAAATTATAAATTACAATTGAAATGTCAACTTGAGATCAAAACATTCGATTGATATCGTATCAGATTTGTTGAAAATTATTCCAAAGTTTCATCTCCACAAATGCCATTCATAATAATTCCACAGACCCATCCAGGAATCTAATAGATGTCATTGAATCTGCCAAATAATTCACATAAATAATACCATCAAATATAACTTCAGTATCGTATTATATGACTGCGGTTTCAGATCGATTCAATAAAATTCTACTTCCATTAGGGATTGTCTATGAAGTTAAAATATTCATAAATCACATCAGTGTTGGAAAATAGCTAGAGATTTGGTTATGATTTTGAATGAAAAAGTCCAATTCTATGTTTTTCCGAAAGTTTATAGTTTATGCCCAAATTGTCCATAAAACAATATATCAAAATCCAAATCAACATCAAAGAACTATTTGTTATTTTAACTCGCATTGACATATTTGTATGGTTTTGTTATTAACTGAGACCAAATCTAAAATTGTTCCCTTTCATGTTATACAACAAAAATATTCTTGTACACACTCCCATGAACAAATGTAGTTTCTTGAGATTTATTGATCAACATTGAACCTAAAAAATACTCAAATTTCTACAATGAAGATGAAAACATAATTCTGAATACTACTATACAATTTCATCATTACTATTATTGAAGAAGTAATATTCATTCAGTGTCGATTCTATTAGATTCTTCATGTAAGATAACAGTAAATTACCTTAATGGAAATGAGTATCTACGTATCAATCTGCAGCCAGCTTGTCATTTGTCTATTCTAACATTATATCAGCCGATATGTACAATAAGAGGAACAATCGGTGTGATATGTACACAAAATACAGAAACTCAAAACGCTTACTAACCGAATATACAATATACACACCTATTTTAGAAGCCTTGCCTGAAAGGATTTCCTCCAGTAGACTGCACTTGCGGCCTGAAGGGGTTGGCTGCCTCTGGCTGTTGAGGAAGAACGCGCCCCTGAGGACGAGCCGGAGGCTGCTGGAACGGGGTCTCCTGGTAAGGCTGATCTTGCTGGTAAGAGCGCTGCTGATAATTCTGTTGGTAGCCTGTATGCTGGTAGTCCTGGCTCTGATATCCAGAGTCGAAATTAGTTTCTTGCTGTTTGTACTCTAAGTGGTTCTGGATTTCACCCCCCACCGGTTTCTGCTCCTGCATCGAGTACGTCTGATACTCCTTATTCGGTGGGTCAGACATGAGAATGTTTGCCTCGTTCTCGAAAGGCTTGAAGTCATAGATGTGTCTTAGATACATCAGCACCGGAGCGTAAAATAGGTTCATCAGGGCGATACCTACGTTTAGCGCGGTGAAGCCGATAGCTTCGACCACACTGCCTGCTATAATAGGTCCTACCGCGTATGCTACCGAGTAAGAAATGTCTGCTATTGCGTATATACTGCCGTATACCGAAACGTAACGTACATCCACCAGGTATCCGAGAGTGGGGAGGAGAGCGGTATCTATGAGCGCGATTCCGAAACAAATCCCGCAGATGGGGATCATGAGAAAGACGTAGGAGTTTGCAAAGGGTATTATGAAGCAGCATAAGCCTTCCAGGGCTAGCCCTGCAGCGGCCATGAGCCACTGGTATTGCGGGTACTTCTTGGCCATCTTCACGGTGATGATAACCCCAAAAACGTGGGGGAAGAAAGCTGGTAGCCAGATGATCCCAACCTTCCAATTCTCCGTGGTCAAGTTGTCTTCTACCCAGAGCGAGATGGTGGGCTCCAAAAAGGCCAGCGCGACGTTGGACATCATCAAAGCTCCTGCGCACACCGCGATGTACTTGTCCATGAAGAGTCTCCAGATGGGCACGGACGGCGGCTTCATCATCTGCGACTCTTTTATTTGGTCCTTGATGGGCTTCATAACGAGCAGTAGCATGAACCCGTCCATGAGAGAGACGAATGCTAGGATGAGGAAGGGCATCTCTTTCCCAGCGAACTGGTAGAGTGCTCCTCCGAACGGGGGTGCCACCAGACATCCGAAGCTGATGAACGCCAGCGCTATCCCCAGCGCTTTGGAGCGCTCTGTCTCCTCCGTGAATCGATCTGCGATCATGGCGAGTCCTGCAGTGTCTGCAAAGGCCGAACCGACCCCCTGCAGACTTCTGGCGAAGAACAGGAGGCCGTAGCTCCGGCCACAAGCGAACACTGCCGTCGAGAGGAACATTATCGTGAGTCCGATCATCATGGGGATGTCGTAGCCGATGCGGTCGATAAGTGCTCCGGAGAAGGGGTTCACCATAAGCTGCACGATGGCCTTGGATGCGAATAGGATGCCTGTAGCCTGGTCCTGGCCGTGGTGGTCGTGTTTCCGGGGTGTACCTGGTGGGAGTGACTCGTTTCCCGACAACGCGTAATCCTGGTAAGCTCCAATGTACCGCAAGTAGTCCGGGATGATAGGGACGATCACCATGTAGAGCATGTTGTCAAGCAGCAGAGCTATGGAGACAATGACGAGGATGAGCTTGCGTTGGGTTCGCGGTTCTTGGAGCTTTGTCCAGACCGCTTCTTTCAGCTCCCGGAACTCCATGTTGAGGATGGGAATGTTAGACATGGTTGGATGGCCTTGAGGTCGCTTTGCTTGTGGTCGGGCGTTACTCGGTGCTCATGGAGGGTAGCGCAGTGCCATCCAGGTTAACCTGTACAGAAGAATTGTATTAATATCTTTGTAAGGTTGGGTGGGGAGGCACTGCGCTTATCCCCCCGCACCCCACTAATGGAGTCATTCATAACTCTGATGAATATTAGTTGCTAATATCTATCAATTTCAGTTTGAATGATTTCAATTATAATGTTTTCAATAAAAATAAAGACAAGTTTGGAATATCTATTCGCTTCATGAAATGTAAAGTGATTTTTACTTGTTACTGACTAAAAGTGATATTTTATTCCATTGAATACTTTATTGGGATTTAATGATAATATGGATGCGTACAATGATGAACCTGAAACAGTGATGCTTCAGTCTAAGACCAATTATGAGACATATACTGGGTCGAAACAGAAATGTTGCTTTGGTTTGAGCACTGGTTCCAACCACGGTGTCTGTCGAAATGCCTGTCAAAAAGGAAAAGAACAATTTAAATCAGGCTCTCAAAAGTGAGGTAACGGCAGTGTTATTCCAGTAAAGATGATTTGAAGACTTATAATAAAATGCAAGCACTGATCTCTCAAATAGGTATCTTCCTCAAAAATGTTGACATACAGAATGGCCATGAGGAATTTTTGTGAAACAGATATAGATAATGAATCCGTAAAAGATATTTGAGGTAAGTTATGATCGATATGAGTATCGTGTTTCTGATCCTGTGCGATCATATTTGAAACATTTTAACGGAAAAATCGAAAAATTCAGAACGTCAGTATGCCTGGTTTGTAATTTGCTGTCCAACTTCTCACAACAATTTCACAAATATACTAATTTTCGTCCATCAGAAACTCTGACTCTAAAATCAGATGCAGACAAAAATTATCCGAGCATCCGTTGAGATGCTGGACTAATATTATCTTCAATTCGAAAAAACACTGTACCTTAAATACGAATTCACGTCTCACAACTCATACCCTACAAGAAAGGAATTCAACAGAAAGAAGTGATCAGCCATAATCATATTAGAGATCTCAAGACTTTTTTTAATTACGCACAGATTTGCTAACGACACGGGAGCCAGACTATCAGAAAATTGAGAAGAAATCTAATTTGAAGAATTTGATAAACCACGATAGATTCAACTTATTGATGACCTGAATCTTCACTTCATAAATATACCAATACTGTTTGTATAATAAATGTAATCAGAGTTGCGTGAACCACATTTAGGCAATGACAAGTTCTCAGAGCTCAGTAAATGCTTTTGTGCACATCAGCCACATACTCGTGAATTTGCAAAGAAGTGCCACTATACATGAAACAAAATTCTACTTATGCTTTTGGAAGAAAAAACAAATGATTCTCCTAGAGAAACTACAGATTTGGTGGACCTATAAGTGAAACCGCATTACTACTTTGGACAATGCTCCTCTGTAAGAGAAAAGGAAAGATTTTCATCATGGATTTCCTGTCGTAGAAACTTGCAAATTCGAAAATTGATTATAGAAATTGTGGTCGGTTCACATCATAAGTGTTAAGGGCAACAGTGTTAAAAAAAAAATTCGAATGATGTGAACGTTAGTGTGGCAAAAGTTTCAGGATAAATCAATGCAAGTTTGATGATGTATTGATAGTGCCTGGAGAATTCCAGATTATTTCAACTTCAACTTCATAGACCCAGCTATTGGGTCACAAACCATTCAACCTAATCTGCAACCAACAGAAATCCTCCATAACAAGAAGAGAAGCATTCGATAAAGCATCCTCATTTCTTCATCACATCAATTTAATTACTTTTAGTGAGTAGAATCAAGCAGTTTACTAAAAGAAATATCCCAGAATAGATATTTCCAAGCCTATATGAGATGAGGTGTATTGTGTCTATAGAGCCAAACCTTCTTCATAAAATGGATGAGCATTTCTGAATTTGAAACACAATGCAAAGCATTTGTTTGAAGGTGATTGACAATGTTTCATGATGAATTTCACTAGTTCGGACTTCCATTTTCTACTATATAAAATGATTTGAATTCCCTGAATCAACTAAAAAAGAAGAATTGAAAATGAATAGCTGAAAATAACAATTATATTAACCAAAATAAACCTGAAATTAAATTATAGTTAAATAAAATACAAGTAAAGATAGAACGAGTACTTTCACTAATCCCCGCTTTCCATTTTCCGCTTCACTGGTTTAGTGGGAGATGACCGTTTGGCGGGAGTTGGCCATTTTTCGCTTAATTATGGGTTTCCATACGTTGCGTATCTCTACGTTAGCTTGGCTAAATACGTTGTTGGATAACATGTATGCGGATTTCTTGAATTTTCTCCTAAACCAATGTTCCTCTCTGTGCAAGATCTCAGCTTAGGATCACTCGATGTTGTGTTGATGGGTCCAAACGTGGTCTGCTATTCCTGATTTGCTGTTTTCCCCTCGCTGTGTGTGTTTCTTGTGCTCGGTAATGCGAACATTTTATATGGTAGACAATGGAAGTCCGAACTAGTGAAATTATGCAAAGCAGTCTACAATTTGATAACTGTGGAGAAAATAAAAATTTAAATTGTTGTTTGAAACAAATACAACACAAAAAAGTAAAGTATATTAGTAGTTTTCTCAGACACTAACGTTTTCATCAACAGTAATTCTGAATATCTCAATAGCTAGACGAGTATGAGAAATAATAATTTCTCTAGAAGATGTTGATCTTGTGCATGAAAGTCCATCTCTTTCAAACAATCATCTGATGAAATACACAAAGTAAATGGAACAATGAGTCTTTCTGAATTTGACTTTCCGAAACAGAAACATATATTATATTCATTTTCGTCGAAAGAAAGACCTTTCAGGAAAATTAATGAAATAGAAATTGTTTTTATGGTCAAACATTTTTATCTAGATATGGGAATGATGGTCAGGCTGTTAAAGATATGAACAAGTTGGACATGAGAAATAAGAGAAAGAAGCACATGAATCCAGTAGACAAGAAGGAAGTGGACTACATTTCAAAATATTCGGAACAAACACCTATGAAATTTTTTGTAAACTGTTAAAATGTATTTATATATATGGAGCTCAGCTGTACGAGTATTTCGTAACAACAGGAATATATCTAGGAATATTCTTCCAGGACTCATCACCGGAATTATATCGCTTTTGATCATTGTGGTTGATAGAAAGTCCTTTGATTCATTTACTATTCACACTGGAATATCTCAGGGTTCAATTCTCGCTAAAATCTTCTTTCTGCTTCACATAGATGATCTTCTCATAACTGCGACAACCTAATTCATAGTTCGATAATAAATATGCTCAATACTACAGCAAAAAACTGAAGTAGCTATACTCGCTTTGAATGTTTCGTTTTTTCTCTCGGCATCATCAACTATTTCAAGAGCCACGATCCGCAAAAGTTCTCTTGAGAAGAGCTTCCTAAAAATATGGCCAGAACCGGATCGCAAATATTCAAGCAAATGAAGCAATTTATTTAATTTTCAACTCTACATTACCTCAAAAGCATCGAATTTGTGTTTGAAAGGTTGTCTATTTTTCTAAATACTTTCATGGGAATTACTTTCCATTCATTTTTCTCCACCTCCAATGCTATTGTTAGGATTTGCTAATAATTACATCATCGAAGTGATTTTTGATTTTGATGCTTTCGCGACTTTTGGTATTTTGTGTTTTTCTGGATTGCTGCCGTCGTTCACTTTGAATGAGTTTCTCAACGTTTAGCCAAAAAAAGTGAAATGGAAATATTCGTTATACTTCTGAATGATGGAAGGGTAATCTCTGCGATTATTTATCATACGCAGATATTGAATCCCGCCATTTGATTGGTTGTGATTGTATATAATCATCAATGAAAGCCATTATTTTTTTTTCACCGTAGTTTGCGCTGGTCAGGCCCTATCCACCAAAGCCCCGATACATATCTATGTACATATATCTATGTATATGCCAAAAACTCGTTCGATAAGTAAAAACATAATATGAAAACTTCTTTCATGAATTTCTGAAACACAAAATACTAGTAATTTTTGTTCCCTCATTCAATTTCATCCGGCCCTGATATGCCATCATTGAGTTTTCAAATTTTGCAATGATAAAATATACTCATATTCTTCATCTGTGTATCATTTTGATTCACCCTGTATACACACTCTACTGAAAAATCTTTCAGAAAATGGAAGTAACTACACTACCACAATTTTGTTAATTACTATATAAATCGTTAGTACTCATATATAGAGTTTCTGCTGTTTAAACTTGAAAGTATTACCAGAAATCAATAGGACCTGAATCAAGAAAAATAAGTTGTCTCCTCATGCGTATTAGTACTTATATAAATATTCAATTATCCTTGAATCAGTATGTTGACTCTAGCATAACATTAATCACGTAATTCATTTCATATTACATAAATCGATTCGACTCATACACGGCGCTGTTATCATTCAGTTCAAACTGGCCAAAAAATCAATAGGCCTCAAATCCAGATAACAAATCAATAAATTTCAAATTGAGGTGTTAATTATTGAGAGGATGCAAATTAATGGATTATCTTCTCCTGACTCGTTCAATACTGCGTATGTCGACAGCAATCATAAATAGAGCTCACGCCATTCAGATTCAAACTTGAATCGATAGGATTCATATATGGAACTCCTACCGTTCGAACCAATTTCTGATGAATAATTAACAGAAAATCGATAGGACCCAAATCCTGAAAATGAGCTTTGGACCTAATGTACTCACCTGTATCCGGTAGGGCGCTGCCTATTCTGGTGGCAAAAAAACCGCGAATGTTGCTGGCGACACGCGACTCTCCGAGCAGGCCTAGAGTGCCTCCCGGGCCCGATTGCCCACCTCCGCGGTTCTCCACGGTGCCGCTGTCCAGGTGCACACAAAAATTGTTTCACTGGCGGCGCGCCGAACGTAGAGCGACCGTTCCAGTGTCGCTGCCTACGCGAGGATGAGGTCGGCGGCGGCGGGAGGCAGATTCTGAGGGGCGGCGCCGCAACGTCAGCCGCCGGGCAGGCGTCGTGGTCGCCGGAGCTCATTGGGCTGACGGATTCGGTGTCACCTCCTCGGGGACCAATTGAGGGGCCTCGGGACCTGGACTAATTTATGCGGTGGTCTTTTGCATATGAGGTGAACGGTGAAAAGGGGGAAAATTCGAGTTTTGAGTAGTCTATGGTCGTGGTGGTTGTCGTGAATGGATTGAAGGTGATTATTCATAGAAGCTAATTAGGATAACAATGTTATCGATTAGCAAGTTTCTCGCTCTTTCTGGAACCAATTTGGTATATATTTACATCAAAAATACCAGCAAGGTTAGTTGGCTTTGGTATTGGCTCAGCACTATTCTACAAAGCAACCGAATTGATCAAAATATCACCTCGTAACAGAATTGATCGAAGTATCACCTCGTTTTTGCTTATTTATGAGAAATCTAAAAGTATTTAGCTGTTCGTATTGATAGAACTCGATATACAACGAAATTGTGATTTTCAAATTAAAAAAACAATTTTTTAGTTAACCTTTAAATAAAAAGAAATGGAAAATTCACAGATAAAAAAGGAAAAAACGAATTTCATTCAAAACTCCTTGAGAAATATAGAACAATCACAGATTCATCCCTCACGTAAGGAAGCGTACATGTGAATTCATGAAAATATTGAAACGTCAAATTGAGGAATCTCTTCTTGGAGAAATCATGTCAAATTTCAATTGTAGGCTACCTGTGGGGTGCAAGAGGTTATTTTTATCAACTCATCAGCAGCATTTCAAGCATTCATATCACTTCGCAAAAGCATTTGGACCCCAATAAAGTAGTTTTAATAATAATATTGCATTAAAAATCAGGAAAGAAAATCTAAAGAAGTACCACCAAGGTAACAGTTTCGGTGCCCATTATACGAGGTGTTTATAAAACATGAGGGACTCTTCTTTGGACTATTCTAAAGATAATTTGTCCTTTGATGATGTATGGTAGGGTGCTTTGTTTCAAAGATACGGAGCGAAGAAGAATTTCGACAATGACAATTACCAAAAATAACATGTAATGTTTCTTAATCTACAATAACTGTTGAAAATGACTACCATTCGCTGGAATGCAAGAAACCAATCTTCTCCACATCGACTCCCGAACTTTTTCAAAAACACAAGGATCGTTTCTGATTGCATTACACACAGCAAATTGAATGTCTGCAGCCGTTTGTGGTAATCGGAATATTGTTTTTTTATCACTTGTTAGGTCCAGTGTATTACGCTATACTTTTATTTCGGCTACGTTAATAATTTCAAAATTATAGTCTATCGATTCCCAATTGAAACGGCAATAAAAATAAGAGTACAGTCATAAACATTTCTTGCCTGTGGCCTTCAATTTGCTTCTCCTGAAAATGCTAACCTTGTTAGCGAAACGCGCGTCGAGTGCAAAAATATCAGTTTGGTGTTAGGGTAATTGATCTCTAGAAGAATTTTTCTACTTTCACACCAAAGGTTCCAATCTCATCGTTTAAACCGATTTTTGTGAAAATCTTAGTGTTTTTGGGTACTTTCATCAATGTGACTTTCTGGAGACCTATTGAAATAAATGATAACATTACGTGTGAGGAATCTGTGTCAATCGACAGGGATCCGGAATTTGAAAATGAGGACTTGCATGTTCAAGTTCAGCGAGTAATTTTGAATACTCACAATGCTTGAAGAAGGAAAACTGTCACACGTCACAGAATGCTATTGTGAATAGAATATGCGAGTTAACGAAACTATCTCGTTCGACAGTTCTTCGAGTCATTAAAATAGGGGATGTCATTGACCATGCAATGAAACGAAAACAAAGGAATGAAAAATTCGCAAACGTTGATGGTGCTACAAAAGATGTGATTCGGCGAACAATTTATGGTATATACCAAAAAAAATTAGGTACCAACCTTGAAAATGATTTGGTATAAATTACTCGACTATCCCGATTACAATTACAAATCTTTAGAAACTCCACGAGATGCCTTATTGTCTTGTGGTTTCAAATATAAAAAAAAACAATCGAATGGTCAAAATGGAATCGACACGCATTGTTCAACTCCGACAAGTATATTTGAGGCGGATAATTTCCCATCTATTCGTAAAAATTTCAAAAATAAATATTTGTTGTACACAATCTTTCACACAAGAGATTGAAAAATACTAACAAAAGGATGATTCATGTAATTTTTTCTACTATGGAAAAATAGTAGGTACACATTCATTTTTTTTTTCAAAAGATGTTTTTGCCGATAAAAGGAATAAAACATTGAGGAGCAATATCATTAATGATTTTTCAAAAATAAAATGTTTCTCAATATCAATACCTACTATCAATTTATCAACAGAAATTTTTTTAAAACGATTTCTTCACTAATGACTAATTTCACAAAAAACCTTATAGATATGTCATAAACAATGCAATTGTTTATGACAATTTTATCATCGACATTTTTATAGGTTCATATGACTTTCACATTTCATGTCACTTCATGTTGTTCATAAATAAGGCTAAAATCAGAATATTCCTCATTTTCTAATGGAGATTTGTCCTGAAGTTTTCTTCCAAAAATAGATACTCAAGAAATGAAAAAAAGAAGTTTTTAGTTTGATAATTTTCAGGGTCTTCATGTAGATTTTCAAATTGTAAACATATCTTACTTAGCGAAAGCATGGATTACGAACAAATTGCGGAAAACGTTTTTTTCAACGTATAATTGCCCATTCATGCATCTCCATGGTAACTGAAATTACCCATTTCTTCAAATTATCTAAAAGAACAATTTTTTCAGGCCAGTCTCAAATTACCTACACTGTAGGTTAATGGACTAACACCTATCAGAAAACAAATACTTCCCTGGCTAATACCACGAAGGGCGTTGGTGTCAGTGCAGGATTCTTCACTGTAGTTATTCCTGCATATGCTGTTGGCCATACAACTGCCGCAATAAAAAAATAAATCATTGGAACACATTCACAGACTGGTTTCGGGCTGTTTGGCCACCTGTTAATGCCAGGTAGTGTGTATCATCAACATGAAGTCGATGATATCCGATAATTGAAAATTGAGTTTGATTTCCATTTCTTACTATTAAAATATTCCTTTTGGCTTAATGCACCTCAATGGTAGCAAAAGCCATTATCATATAGAGAAAGAAATATTCCTCCTCTGCCGATATCTGCAATATTTCTCGAGATACTTGCAAAAAAACAAAATCAATTTTTGATCTATTTGAAGAAGCCTGAAGAAGCCATTGTATGGCGAAACAGGTGTTGTGTTTGTGTAAAACTGTTTAGTGAAAATCACACAATGAAGTGTTTTTGAATACATTATGGATTTTCATGAAGTGTCGGCCAGTTCCGTCATTAACAATTTTTTATTTTTCACTTATTTGTTGTTTGCTCTACTCACTCAATTGACCGCTGAGTGAACCGGTGGTTCGAACCCCAAGGCCAAACGATTGATTTTCACTTCCTATCCTAGGAATCATACGTTAAAAGGTAAAACCTCGTCAATCCTCAGCACGCAGAAGTTTCGGCTTTTGAGAGTTGTCATTCGTAGGGGCGCGAGAGCTGGTTAACAAAAAACAGATTTTTCATCAGATTTTTTACAGATTTCATCTATTGAAGTGAGTAGGTATTGCTAGCTTGTGGAAATTAGAGTGAGCAGCAGGCCACGTATACACAACAAACCTTCAACCAGAAAAATCTAAGTATATGGCCAAATGCTTCAGGAGCCTAGGCCAAATTTACTGCCTTAACCGTCTTGTATAATTAACAGTGTTCAACAAAAAGTCAGACAGTTCACTGACTTTTCACAAAACTTTACACTATCAAGTGTAACCAAACCGTTATTTTAACACCTCGACACGTGTTTCGATCACCAAGTGATCATCTTCAGAAAGAAAGACCGTTATTTTAACACCTCGACACGTATTTAGAAGTGATTATTTTCAAGAGGAAGATCAGTTTGATCTACCTTCCAGTAATATTCATTACTATAACAAAGGTTCCCAACAGTGCATCACAAAAAACTTAATTGCTTAGACTGATTTTGGGACCCATTCTGCAGAAATTCTTTGATCCAAATCAATTCGGAACTACATAATGGAAACGTTTATATGAAATATACAGTGCCTCAGATATTCGTCTTAGGCCAGTTCGACGATTTGGTGAAGTCATGTCATGTACTCCATTGATATTTACAGTATTGGTATTGCCGATAGGTTTCCATCTTCCATGAAAAATTCACCACTTTTGAAGCTAGCATTTCAGTTTTTCACAATTTCAGCACACACTGTTCCTTCAGCTTTCAGTGCCAAACTCTGGCCTGACTTTTTGTCGTGACTTTACACTGGAACAGGTCATTCTTCGTTGAGAAATATTTTGTTCATTCACGAAACCGGTCTAAGCTAACCAAATATCAATAAATCGTGAATATATATTGAGAATAAAAAATCACCCTCTATATTTTCACCTGGCGTCATTTCGTCGGATGAGGGTGAGAGGGGTAAATGTCGGTCGATACAGCATAAGCCGAGTCTGCATGAATATTTGATATCCCTCCAGTAGGCTACGGCGAACATTTCGACCTTTGATCTCGAATGTCAGGGTGGAGACTCGTGGAACTTCGTTTGCGTTTTAGCCAACTGTCAGGAGATCATTGACAGGATGATTGTTCAAATGATTCTTTAGGAATATGTTGCACCACAATCTAAGATATTCAATAATATTATTTTAAGTCAAACCTTTCCTCAAGTATGGAAAATAAAAAAGGTCATATCCCTGTATTCAAAAGTGGTAAATAATTTGATATATGCAATTTTACTCTCTTTTACAAAAATAATTTGTTTTTAATATATCAATCTTTGGCAGAATCCATATGAGATATTTTATATTAGCATGGGGTGGTACTTTTTTGAGAA